CATTTGCATGTAATTAAACACACGGGTACTTACCATGGTACTCGTGGAGTCTCGGGGATGCGAATTTTTTGGCGGTGTAGGTACTCTGGGTCAGGATTGTGGCGTCTTTATGATCCACTATCGGATTAACACGCACGTGTGTCGAACAACGGCCCGGGGGAAACTAACGCCGGCCGGTGGCGTGGTTCCGTTGGAACCTGTTGCTCGGGGTGGGGGTGAATCTCCTCGAGTGCACACGTCCGGTGGCGGCGCGCGTGGCTAGATACCGAGTTAGCCTTGATCTTGAATTTCCCTAGCTCGCGGCGCGTAACAAATTTGAATTTGAATTTGGGGTTTTATTCGTTTACTACTCAGTCTTAATGTTATCATTATTTTCTATTACTCTGGGAGTTCTATTAACTATGCTAACCGGCTCTTAGCCGCGATAAAGTTTTTCAAGGGGTTTTGTGCGAGATTTTGGGGGAGCGGATTTTTGCCCCGTCTATGCCTATTTTCAGGTAGCTCATCAGGTAGGGACCCTCTCCGGAGAGGAATTGGGGATCTTCTAACGAAACTAACTAATCCTGATTTCTCTGTAACTATAACTAAACCTAAATCTTAATTTGCTAAACCGTAAAGCTCTTGGCAATCCATGCAAGCGAGAGAGCTACGTTCGCTCACATGGCCTTCCACCCGTACTAAACTGAAGATTACCCCAACCCTCTCACAACCCGTGGAGCGTAGGCGTCTGAACCTAACCTATGGGTTCTCCTATCCAATTAACTAAAAAGGGTTCCAGGGACTACCGGAAGCACAGTATATCGGCCAATTTTCCTCGATAGTCCCCGACCCTTAACCCGATTTCGCGCAGACAATTCTCAATTATTATAAGGGGGATTTTATGGGGAATTTCAACTATTTTCTAATCCATAACTATAACTGAATTTTTATACGCATTCATCTAAACCGTAGGGATTTACTGCTGTTTCTACTTATTACTTTACTTGATGATTTTAGTGCAGCAACTCTGGGGAAAATTAGAGAAGGTAACCGGTAGCTGTCTCCGAGAGGAGATTAGGTAGCAGGTAGCTTGTTAATCGGGTATTTTTTTAGGTAGCTTTTCCCGGATGTTATTTAGATAGCAGGTAGCTTTTGCGAGTTTTACTAAGGTAGCAGGTAGCTTTTCGCGAGTTCAACTAAGGTAGCAGGTAGCTTTTCTCCGAGACCTTTTTAGGTAGCAGGTAGCTAATAGATGCGGGTCCCAGGATCCGTGTTGGTCGTGTATTTTATTAAATTTTCGCGGTTCTCTCTCGCCCTTAATCTAGGTAGTTACCCTACGGGAATACAGGTGACAGATTCGCCTAGAATTTCGTCACAGTGTGGGAACTTTACACCTTTTTTCCGCGTTGATAATAAAACCCAGATTTTGAAGTAATTGTACAGATGCATTAATATTTCTTGAGCAATCATCACAGCATCCCCAATGAGAAGAAACTCATCTAAATAGACGACTGAAACAAACCCTTGAGTTCTTAGAGGAACCACGACTGGCTTCATTAAGTTAGTGAAGACATAAGGGGCTGTTATGAGCCCAAATGGTAAACAATTAAATTCGTATAAATTTCCTTGGAAATAAAATCTGAAATATATTCTATCATTTTTGTTAATGTTAACGAGGTAATATACCTCTTTCAGATCGATTCTTCCCATGAAACAATTTTGAAAAACCTATTTGCAAGCAACTTTAAAATCGTCTAATTTAAAGCGGTCTTTTTTAATAAAACAGTTTAACTTCTCAAGATTCGAAATAAGTCTATTCGATCCATCGAGTTTAGGGATGAGGAAAATAGAACGTATGAACCGACCTTCTTGTGCTCCGCAAGAACTAATTACCCCTTTAGAAATCAGATTACTGATATGAGAATCGACTATTAACAATTCATTTTGTGACCAGGAAACTTCGTCGGGAATTGAATTCTGGGTTACTATTTCTATGAATGGAATGGAATAATCATGAACCCGGCTCAAAATTCTGGAATCGAAGGTCAATTTTTTCCAATGGCTCAAGAATAAACTCAGTCGACCAGCCGGCCTACTTACATTATTTTTATCTATGTTTTCTTGAGTTGAGGAGCGTACTGCAATTGGGGGTTATTGCGGAATTTGTTGTTCTGTTTCCCCCAATGTTTCCTTATCTGAGAGAAATGTGTGTTTCGATGCCCGCCCAATGTCAGACTTTTGAAGGAGGGACGTTGTGGTGGGCCCATGAAGTTTTTTGATCGATCACTGGAGCTTTTAAGCTTTACCTTTAACTCTTCAGAACGACGACGAAGACGTTTTCCTAATGTTTCCCCAAATAACCACACTTCAGCCACAAAATCTTCGATTATCTCTTTTGGAGAATTACTAATACTGGCTGCGTTTTAAGGACTCCTCACGTTGTAAATCGGTCAAGAGCCGAGCAGCGTCACTTAGTTTTTTGCTTTTCATGATATTTGTGATTGCGTTGGTTATAAGACTCACGCTAACCGCGATTTTTTATTGTTTCTCAACAATGTGTCCAACTCGCTTAAGCGCAGTTTCTGTAACTGATGCTTCGATTTTCTCATTTAATTTCGGAAGATCCATATCTACGAAATTCTTTGGAGGAGAACTATCGTTAATTAACTCATTTTTCTCCTCTGCTGGTAAAGCTTTTTTAATGACATTCCAGGCGAATAACCACACTGGCTGAAAATTCCACGGCGAGGATCCTATCCTCTGCAACCCGGCCTCGAATTGCTTGTAAAACCTTCTCGTCCAGCTCCTCAAGAACAATGATGTTGTCAGCCTCATTTGAAGCATCTTTATCTGCTTCTTTTTCCTTCGGGAGATCTTTATTTGAGGGGGCCTGCGGAGGCGGTTGATCTTCCGCATGAACATCTGTCTGAGTTTCGAAAGTGTTCCCAGAATTTTGGTTATTATCTGTTAGGCCTGGCACCCCTTCAACACTCTCTGACTGATCGCCCTCACTGATTACTTCCCAGCAACGTCTCAGTTTGGGGTTCATCCAAGTGTATTGGAGAACTTTCCGGAGAGGTTGATGGATTACGAACTCTTAGCTCTGTTAACCAAAAAAAATATGTTGGTTACTACCGACGGTAGTGGCCGTGCGGTTAGAGTGCTAGACTAGCATGCCAACGATCCGGGTTCGATCCCGGGCACCGGCGGTTAAAATTTATAGCGCTCTAATCTCACAGCTTCACTGTCGAGCGGTAGTCCTGTCAAAAGGACGACTGTACCAGGGCAAGTTTTTTTATGTTGGTTACTAATTGAATATTTTTCTTTCTCTTTTTTTTTAATATTTGAAGTCCATATATTCAGTGCAGACTAATACGGTTCTAAGAAAAAAGAAACCGATTCGTTCGATTTTATTCTAAGAATAATGTGAAATTTGTTGCAAAAAGAGAGAAAGACAAACTCTCTCTTTATAAACATATTCAAAACTGTTTACAACCTCTCATTCCTCGAAAGCGAGGTCATTGTTTAGGTACGTTTCGCACTGACTCACGCTGAGAAAAAGCTCACCAATCAGCAAGGGCCAATGGTTTGTCTGTCGGTAAGGGCCTGGGACATGTGAATGAATAATTATGCATTAAATGCTCTGATTGATGAAAATCATTCAATAGAATATATGAAATAAAAAAAAAATTTTTCTTCTTTTTACCCAATTTTCGAAGCCACCTTCTTATTTTCCTTTGTATTACTTGATGTTTATTCCACTTACTGCGAATCTTGTCGAATTCCTTCAGAACCCTTCTCATCTTCTTGACTAATCTCTTTTCTTCATGTCCACCGTGAGATCCATGTCTTTTATGACTTCTCTTGCCCATCTTTGCACTTTCCGGAACTGACACTTTTTAATGCTGTGATTCGATTTTCTCGGCACTCAAAAGAAGGGCACGATTCCGATTACTTTGGCGCCACGGCCTGGTGGTGGTTTCCCGTAGTATTTTGTCTCAGGAATTCGGGAAAAATAATAAAAAAAAATCGATCTCTATTATTTATAGTAGTTTTCGATTTTTTAATGTAAAAATTTCAAATAATACCAACTTATATCCTACACTGTTGGGACGTTGGGGATTGGGGGTGGAGGGTGGCGGGGGGGGGGGGGAGGGGTATTTAGCCTTGTCAATAACCAAAATAATTTTAAAAATGTGGAAAATTTTGAGTAGAAATTTTCATTTTTAATTTCAAATTGAAGTTGTGAAAATATTATTATTTATCCATTTCAGCTGTATAAACTATAATTATACAGAGGAAGCAATAAATATTAATGTTTACATGTTCTAATTTTGTTATTTTTTTGCTAAAAATGAACTATTTGTTGTTGTTTTTGTTTAATTACATAGTTAATTACTTCTGTGATTTTTTGGCAAATTATTATCTTTAATGATAAAGCCAATTTTTATTCTTGCCGGGGGGGGCTTCGCCCCCCCAACCCCCTGCCGGGGCAACCGCACCTGGACCCCGCTTTTTTTATGCCTTCAAATCTACATGCTTATTAGCACAAAAAAAAGAGATGTGAGGGGGGAAATGGCTAGTTTTTGGCTTTATCTTCAGACTGTTTTGGCGTTACCCAGAATGCACCACGTGGAGGTAAAGTCTGTTTGTTTGAACAAGCCCTCCAAATGAGGTAAATATAGAAAAATGAGCAAGCTTTGGATGAAATTGAGGATGAGAGGATGTGTTAGACATTTTAACACTTTTAATTCACTTGAAAATCACAAAAAAACTCTAATTTGCTTCGCTGCCTGATTAACACGCTTTGAAAAACAAAGGAGAATGAAGAAAAACAATGGCGGCAAGATTTCATTCGAATTTATATAATTCGTGAAAAATCCGCTAGATGGTGTAAAGGTTAAAAAAAGGCTAAAAATTTTCATATAATATGATATTATAGATTCAGATTTATTCAGTAATATATAAAATATAAACCATATTTTAAAAAAAAAGGGGTCCATTTTGCCCCTTTTTCCCTCTATATTTCGAAATACAGTGTAGACGGAATTTTTTCATTATTTTTCTCGAACTCGCGAGACAAAATAGTTCGGAAAACAACCGTTAAATCGCGGCGCCAAAGTAATCGGAATTGTGCCAGAAGAAGAATGAAATGTGGGGACTGTTTGGACGTGGGGTAGGGAAGAGCACAGTCCCGGTTTTTTCGTTTGGGGCCTTTAACGTGTGGTGCCCTCGGCATATAATTGACGAGTAATACATTTCATCTTAAGTAACTGGCGCGGAATACAATTACCAAACTATAAATGAATCCAAAAGTCTTTAAATTACCTATTTTTTTCTGATAAAAATAATAAAGGCACTTAAAAATAATAAAGGATTTATATACAAATATTGAATGTTCCGTAAAAAATTACAGAACGAACCTGAATTTGCACGAGAGTTCTCCATAATTTTATCGTAATGATACATAAAAGTTATGCTACAGTACCTTCAAAATCATGGTCAATTTCATAATTTTAAACAAATTGGTAGTTCACCATAGAATTACGGACTCCTAACATAATTTTTTATGAACTTCTTTCTCATAAAATTTTTTGTGGGAATCCTTTTAATACAGTTGTGGTCCTTATACACTTTATTTATCTTTATACATTTTTATTTTACAACTGGTGTGGCGAGTCTTGTGAGGTTAGTTCTGTGAGGTCAGCCACCTCTGGGGAAGGACTTCTGGTTGGTGCAGGAATACAAATTGAAGCATGCATACATGTGTGTATTTTTTGACCATATACGCACTATTCGACAAGAGAATAAAATAATCAGAAGTATTAACCAGGTTTCGTTTATTTATGGATGAATAGTATCGAAAAAAAACAAAATGTTTTAAAAGTTGGCTTTAATGATAAGGGGTTCGAAAGCTTCTCACCTTCGTAATTTCCCTAACTGTTTCTATTAAACTTTTTAATGTATTTCACACAACTATATATATATTTAACGCAAAAAGATACAAAAACTTTGACGTTTAAAATTGTTCGTACCTAGTTTGTATGATCCAATGACTGATCATCTTTACACACTATAATATGATCGGTACTAACATGTGCTTTTGTTCATCTTTAAATCCCTTATTTCTAATATAAATGTCAACACAATCTATTCATTTTATTTTACTCTTTCACGTTTCATTCCTGAGTTCAACATCTCGCAGAGTACTTTCCACTCTCTCACTCAATTTCTCCAATTTTATTGAAATATTTCTCGAAAATTTTCTGAGTTCACAAGAGAGGTCCATCAGCTGCTGTCTACCAATATCACTTGAGCTTGTAGCACTGATCAGCCTACTAAACCTATGACCACTAATTTCTTCGCCATTATTGTAATTTTCCAACACTAGCGAGAAGTTCTCCTCTCTGCTTCTCTTACCCTTATTTTTCCTTTGAGACACAAGCCCATAGACAGCTTTAATCAGCTCTCTTGGCAATCTTTTTTCTCTTGGATCGTTGGGTCTCACGTGAATGGCACAATGATGAGGCGGATGCAGTAGCAAAGCTTCTCTCCTAAAGGCTTTGACCAACTTACTTGGAGCATGATCTAATAATTTTGAAAACAGCATGCTTTCTAAATGAGCCACCAACTCAGCTCTCCTTACAAGCCTGTCCAATCCAGCGCACCTTCTTAATTCCTGAATATCTGAAACTGCTAGACCTACCATAAGATTAGTCAAGATCACAGTAACCAGTACAACAAATGCCAGTAACATTAGATGAGGAGTCCACGGGAATCTCAAATTGTTATCAAAAAACACGTCTTCAAACTCTAATTCCCCCGACATCATTACAATCGTTTTCAATAGTCCCAGTAAAGGGTTACCGAATGATTTGTAATCATTATGAAGAACGGTGAACCCAAGAGCAAATCCTACAATCAAACAGATATAGGCGCCAATAAACTTAAAGAAATTGACGGCAACTTGTGTAAACATCTGCACATACAATCCAAACATTGGAAATCTTCCGACGACCATCATTAATTCTGTCCAGACTAACAAGATATCAATCGCTGCTATATGGTACTGCCATTCGTGAATGGGGCTGATTAAGACTAAAACTGTGGTGACGATGACACCCCATTGAAGCCAATTTTCCCAGCGTTTAGCGTAAATGAAGATTCCATGAGCGAGTTGAAAGATTTCTTTACATGTTAGAAGTGTTGTAAAGATGAGAACTGGCCAGAACAAAACTCTTTTCATGGCATTGTAGGACTTATAGAGGAATGTTACTATAATGTAGCTAGTAAAAAAAGTGACGAAGATTGAATGAAATACAAGACTGAAGAGAAAGAATTTCCTGATGCGGAGCCATTTGAGGTGCAGAAAACTTTCACATAAAGGGTGCTTAAGAATATGCTTTTGGTCGACTTCAACAAGGCAGAGCATCAAGTCGGTTTCGCCTCGTCCACCTGGAACCAACGGACGGAAGTCTAGTCGAAGCTCACAGTCGACGTCGCCTAGTTCATGGTCATGCAGCGAGATTCCTTGATCCATGCGGGAGACGAATCGTGGGATGACATCGGGAGTTCGACGAATTATAAAGCTTAAGGCAGAGATCCCGCCTTTGGTACGGGCGGTTACATCTGCTCCTTTAGACAAAAGCAGATTTACGATGTAAGAAGACTCGTTCAGAGCAGCTATGTGCAGTGGCGTGTAGCCAAATGCATCGGGTTTGTTTATGCGGGAACCTGCCTGGAACGTTAGGATATGTCAGTATTAAATTAAGCAGACAAAGTTGATTGATCTTGATATCGAAGAAATTTAGCAATGAAATCCCTATTTTGGAATAGACACAGCAGATGACCGACAATAACTATTGAGAAGATTTTGAAAAATATGCGGCGAGCTGGCATTTATGAATTTACTATTTGAATTGCTTAATGGGTAAATCATCATAGTTTATTGAGTGAAGATTTATGCCAACATTGGTTGTAAGGCCCGGTTAGTTGATTTTTCGGCTGTTATTTAAGCGAGATTTATGATTTTGGCATCTGAATTGAAAACATCGTAAGCGATGCAATTAAACATTACCAATTAGTTTAGTAGAATAACTACATATCTGATATCCTACTTCCTACTCTGGCGGTTACTGAGAGAAAAAAATTATTTCGCCAAGCATACTTACTAACCACAAGAAAATGTATTTGACTGAAGAAATTTTTTCTCTCAGTGCAGATAGGCAACTAATCGAAAAAAAAATACCCGTGTTAAAGCAGTTTTTGAAAGGAAATATGAGATATATCACCTCGAGTTTCATTAACGATTAAATGGTTTTGTGAATTTCTTGGGAAATATCGGAACCATTTCGAGCGATAGCGTTTAAAACGATTAATTTTGTAACTGGCCTATAACCATGGAAAGTCAATAAATATGGGAGTTCATGCTAGCCATCCCAACGTTCAAATATACACTTATCCAAAGGAAAGTCTCAGAAAAACACGATAACTATCATTACAATACTGTAATGATTTAGTCATTTTTTGCTACATACACATTGACAACCAGTATCCATTCTTGAGTCAACTGTTATTTTATCATTTTTTTACCAATGAAATGCTGTTAAAGGACATTAATTCATCTGAGAGGAACCAAACAAAAATTTTTCTTGACACAGTATTTTTATCAACCCCTTTGAATTCTTTTCGCGGGCATAAATTGCAATTTGTATATTTTTCGATAGAAACGAGAAATGTCTGATTTAAGGTTGTTGTCGCGTAGAATTTTTTTTCGACAGTTTTCGTTAACAATTTTATGGTGAATAGTTTGAAAAGAAAATGAGCCTTTTCCGTTTGCAATTGACCGTTTTGAACTTGAAATATAAATTTTTGAAATTCGAGTGATTTAACACGTGTTTAAATGGAGTTTTGCCGATTAGAATTTTTTAAAAATCAACGGCTGGACACTTTCAGAAATAAAAAAAAACGTGGAATATACATCGTGGGAGGAAATACAGAAAAAAAAATCAAATCGATTGACCGTTTGGTTTACGGAATATAATTATCGGAAATTCATAAATTTATATAATTGAAAATAGTTAATATGGAAAATAGATAGTTATGCTTTAGCTATCCATGCACAATGCAATCAATCAAGTGAGACTATATACCGCTAAAAGATTGTGTTCTAAACTAGCCCGTTTTACAGCGGATAAACTTTTTACAGCGACTGTCGCGCGACAACCACCTTAACGGAACAGGGGGGAGGGAGAAAGCTATAAAAGACAATAATTTAGTGAGAGGTTTATTGGCAATCATTATAGAAAGTCGTTCTCTGAGAATTTCTGAAATATTCTTAAGATTTTTTTAATTACAATTATCTAATCTCATAATTGATAGCAGTCTTTGAATGAGAAAACGACAAATTGAGGTCATCAACTGTCGCTTTATAGCGTGTAGGACGGGTGGAGGGGAACGATACTAAATATAAATTATTCCGCAAGCAGCACATGCATTTTTTATGTAAGGAGAGGGTATAGGAGTTAGATGGGATATTGGGCGCGTGAACCGTGGAGTTGGTTTGCGTGAGCAGGTTGATGGAGGATTTTGGCTAGTGAGGTAGGGAGGGGTCCGGTTGGAGATAGTCGGGTGACTGTTTTCAAGGGACAATGACACCAAGGGTGATGAGACTCCTTTAATCATGCATTATTTTAACATGAGAATGTTAATCCGAACATTCTCATATTTGAATTCTCTTACTCGTCTTATTTCTGTAAGAGAAGTATTGGAATTTCTTTTCAATTCGGTTTCTCGGTTTTTTAAAAATTAATGATTAATTATTAATAATTTATAGAATCATTTATTTTGCTGTTTTTATTGTTAAATCCTATTAGGAATTAATGAATTCCAATAAAATTCAACAATAATTGTATACGTCATGTTGATTATCTGTAAAGCCTAAACGTATACTCAAATCATTTTTTTCGGGACATCAGAAGTTAAAAATCAAATTCTGAAACGTTCAACCTACTTCCCGTACCCCTCGTTTTTCTCGCTTTCCAACGTGACAGCGAATAGCCACCTCAATTATGGGTTTCATTGCAATGAAAAAAATTTTATAAATGCTGAAAAATTTTTCAGAAAAGAATATTAAGCAATCGGTCCCCATATATTGTGTACTAGTGACTTACATTCAGCACACTTCATCTTCACCCCTCCTCTTCAGGACCGCGAAAGTGTGCCTGTTACTTCCATTTTTAGCAATCTAATTCGAAGACTTCGGTCAATTACGAGATAAGAGCATTGGGAATAAAAAAATTATTAGAAATTATAAGGGTATTTTCCCAGGGTATTTCAGCCAGGAAAATTTTGGCCCTCAAGCTCCATATCCATGCCTCAAAGATGGTCGGACGCCAGCCAGACCTTTACGGAAGGTCTGACGAAAGTGGCTCTCGGGGCCTGTACGGCTACCCGGGTAATGCCAGATTCCAAGTTAACCGCAGGTGTGATTGGGTAGAGTGGTCTATCCGGAGAAACCCTTGCCCAAAGCTTGCAGGCCTTTCCAGGCCGGATGTTGCCATCACTGGCGATTCTGAGCACGACAATTGGCGGTCTCTTCTCCCCTTCCGGGCTTTTCCAGGCGGTCCTCTTGCCATCGGGTCCTGCTGCTCGGGGCAAGGTCATACTCGCCTGCCACTTCGCTGGGATGCCTCAGGACCTGGGACGCGAAGAAGTTCATCTGACAAAGGTGAATCTTCCTACCCATCTCATGACCACCCACGCTCACAGCCACCAGTGACCGCGGTTTATCGCTGGCCACCGTCCCTGGTTGCTCAAGATCGTGGCGCATGTCGGAACGACAGGAGTCCCCTCGAGTCCAGACCCACGGGCCACACGCCATCCAGGTTCACATAAACTCCGTCACCACATGCTTCGAAGCGAGAAATGAGATGCAGAAGTATCTCCTATTACTCGCCCTCGGGGTTTGCATCACTCAGGCGTAGAGGTTTCCGCCGATGCTAAGCTTCGTTCAGTCATATCAATGCCAGTGAGCGAGCGGCCTTGCGGTCGCTCTAATCGAGAGCTCGTGCTCGACTTCCCTTCTTTTAGGGCATTCTTCCCCTAGTTTAGATATCTCGGCGGCAGCAAGGTCCTTTCGTTACCCATGATACGGGCAATCAACCCGACGTGATCCTGGGGGCACCGGTCCTCTTCCCTGGCCGTTGATCCATAGTCTAAGTCGATAGATGTATTGGAATTGCTCAGTTGGGCGGCCTGTACGTCGAGCCCAATATTCCCTATTAGATGCTGGGCGAGCTACAACTAAACGGGAGCCTACTAGTGTCTTCAGGGCCGACAGGGGTCGCGGTTTCTGCCTACAACCCTATGCCTTTGGTTCCTCATCGGAGGGAAGTATGACATGCCACTCATTCGAGACCTTTTTGGCCTCCGAAAGATGGCTCTTCTTCCAACACTGCTATACAATAGAGTTATTTCCTGTTTAAGGTAGATTTCAACCCGTTCTGACGAGGCAGAATTTTGCCCCCCCCCCCCCTTGCCCTCTAATTAATACACGTTATTTTTGATAGGTTAAGTTAGGTTCAAGTAATCTTTTTTGCCACCGTTGGGCAACCCATTCTCCAGATACTCCTAACCCCCGTCCCTGTTTTCCCTCCCCCTGGTACTCACACACATCAACATCATTAAAAAGGATCCCACGTGACCCCGGAAAAAAAAGACATCCCTCGAGCGAGCCCCTAGATGAGAAGAAGAAAGACACCCGATGACCCCCCCAAAAATCAGGAAAGAAGAAGTGAAAATGATTGGCAGCTATCACTCGTGCCACAGTCGCCCCACGAGTCACTGCCCGGTTAAAGGAGAATACTTATTGTCAAGAGGAAATAATGTGTGAAGAAGAAAGATTGTGAAGGACTAAATATTGTGTAAGAGGAACTATCAATGAAGGAAAAAGAGAGTGAAGGATACTGTGGAGGATTTTGTGTGTGAGAGGAACTATTGAGAAAGAGAGGAATAATGATGTGTGGAACTGTGAGGAAAGGATTTTATTGCGAGGAACTATTGAGAAAGAGAGGAATAATATTGTGTGGAACTGTGAGGAAAGGATTTTATTGCGAGGAACTATTTCGGTTGGAGAACAGTTGAGAGGAATCTCGTGTGGAGGAACAGATTTTGGGAGAGAAAGATTGTACGGCTGAATCTCGTGGAGAGGATCCGAGGAGAGCCGGGAGAAGGAAGGAAGGAGGAGGGACCCCGAAGAAAGCGGAGAGAATTTTGAAGACACCATTCCCCATGAATGCCCCATTTTTTACTCCCTGCCCCAACGAATTTCCCTACCCCGTGTTAATTTCCCTCCAACGGTGAGCCTCCAGTAAATTCATTTTAGTTGTAAATTAAGCCCCCTATTAATTATTACCTTTTCAGTCGGCCCCCCTCACTTCTCCCCCTTTTTCCAGAGTTAGAGTCCCCCCTTCTTTTTATTATATAATATTTCGCGTAGCCGCAAGTGCGTTGGCCTTACCCCCCACACTCGAGTGATTAGTCAAAAGGCCCGGATTATTTTTCATGATAATATTTCGTTATGAGATCAGAATACAGATAGTCAATTTATAAATCCCCCCTAGTAATTATTGAGAACCCCACTCGCTCTTATTATTTCAGGTCCTGCCGTAAGTGATAGTACATTTCCCTAATTTTGTCAGAATATTATTAATTCCCTAATATCGCGCCTTCGCCGGTAATTATTATATTGTAATTCCGTGGCCAAGGTCACAAATGGCGCCCGACGTGGGGCGGGGGTCTTCATCGTCTTCGTTGTCGTGCGTGCTGCGGTGCATACCGTGGCGAGGGGTAACGGGGTGGGGGGAAGGAACAGCTGGGGAGTGGGTTGCCCAACGGGGACAGTATATAACCAGTATATGACATATATATAACGTTAAAACTAGCTTACAACTAAAAGAAACACAACATAGTTTTAGGGGGCAGTGGGAGGGCAGCAATTATCGCCTCGTCACAGCTGTCCCGGGGGTAGAGAATACATGGGGTTTTCACAACCCCATGTTGAACGACTTCAAACCTTGCTTTTGTAGTCCTAAATGAGAATACATGTGGGGTAGATAAAATCGGTAAAGGTCACACCGTAACCATAAAAATTTTGTTACAAAATATTAAAAAAATTTTCAATCAACGACTTTTCCAAATGAATTCCCATGAATTGCTCAGGAAATGATCTTTTTTCATAGTCCTCCGCTGTCCCCCCTACTCCATCAAGTCACTGATTCTAGACTTTTGCTTTATTACAATTGTCCTTCCATCAAAATTAAAAAGTACGGACATTATATTTTTACTCCGTTTTTTTACTTTTTTTTTCAGCATACATACATGCATATAGTGCAGTTCTGCTTAATACAGGTCTGTACGAAAGTTTCCGATACAAAAGAAACGAACACAAAAGCATCTACATAAGAGAATCCAGAGAACCCAACCGGACCTAATGTTCCAAAGATAATTCTGCAGGGGATCATATAGAAATGTCAGAAACATTCACGTTCATTTTCCTCGAAAAAAATACATGTTTAAAATTTTTTGGCCAACTGCCTTATTCTTCTCATAATTTTATCGATGAACCAATCACAACATCTTTTAATAGCGAAACTTGATACAAAAAATGAAGATATAAAAACCTGGAGGAGAATCCGAATCAATTCACTCCCTCGTAGGCTCTTAGCTACAGCGGTATGTAGAGGTGTGCGCCCTTCAGCATCTTCAGCATTGGGATCTGCTCCAGATGCAATTAATACTTCCAAAGTTTCCGATGATTGCGCTAAAGCTGCCAAGTGCATAGCAGTTTGACCTCTAGAATTTTTAGCCTCGTAAGGTGCTCCAGCCTGTAATAGTAACCTCGCGCATTCAGAACTGCCCTCTTCTGCGACAAGGTGAAGTGGAGTGGATCTAGCAGAGCCCAAGCATACTCGGGCATCTGCCCCGTGACTCAGAAGTAACTCAACGCTTTTGATCGAGCCCAAACTTGCAGCTACGTGGAGAGGCGTCTCCGTATAAACTTGCGGATTATTTGGACATGCTCCAGATTTTAATAAGACCTCAACGCAGACATAAGCATTGCTCAGCACTGCGTAATATAGGGGAGTTCTCCCTGGTAGACCTATGTCTACATTTCCACCATATTTAACGAGCAGTCTCAGAGAACAAAGGTCGTTTCTTGCGGCTGCGTAATGCATTGGTGTCATCTCGTTTCTGAAATCCCATTCATTGGGGTTTGCACCCTTTTTTAATAGTACCTCGACTATTGTACTGGAGCCTGAACATGTAGCCAAGTGTAGAGCTGTTCTGAAATCATTTTTCAACGGGTTAGATAATACACGGCACTTCACATAGTCTTACAAGTGGTAATGCTATCCACTGCACATAGAAGACGACGTAAGAGACTAAACGTGAGGCAAAGTGGAAAATACCTATGTGGAGCAAGCCATTGTAATTTATGCTATAACGGCTGAGAAATATTCATGTAAAGAAGTATAGCAACCTCTTTGATCAAAATCCACGCCCAGGGCACGGTCAACTATGTTGCTAAAATACTTTTCAGTCCGTGTGGCATATGTTACTTTATGTTATGAGGCCCGACAAACCGAGTATTTTTATTGCCCAAGGGAGGCAAGGAAAAATAAAAGCGATAAGCGTCCACGTACCGCCCTAGGGCAATAAACGTATAAAGTCAGTATATATTGTCAATCAATAGATCAATATATTGTAACTTATACGATAGATTTGTGTAGAAACAAAACCGGAGAATTTTGTATAAGGAACGATTATGATATTATTATTATCACTATTGTGTATCAACTACTATTGTCTTAGAGTATTTTTCCATGAAAGCATTTTCACTGTAGCTATTTATGCTAAAGTTATTTAAATTTTTTTTTTGTTGAGGTTCTTTTTACGAAGTTATTTTTGATTAATTATTTTAACAACGTTATTAACTGTACTGCACTTGACTGTACGAGGTATCTGGACCGGTACATTAAGCTTGCAAAAGCATGAATTTTTATGAGCTGAATATCACGAAAAAATGTTGATCGTATTTTTTTAAAGAAATTAAACTTCGTTTTTTGAATACCTTCCATCATTGTCGTGAGTAGAAACATCAATTCCTCGTTCCAAAAGTTCCATGACAATCTCATAATTTCTTGACCAACAGGCAATTAAAAGCCAAGTTTCAGGGAACATACTGAATGAAAGCGCTATACTTTCCGCATCTCCACTTGAGATTTTCTTTATTGTTCTGTAAAATATCAGTCGATATAGTAATTTGAAGATGCCATAATTCAATTAATATTCATTCCAATGAGCTCATGTTTAACTTACCTGTTCTTTGAATGAGTTGAATCTACTATTTTTTCACCTTTATTGTATCTATAGATTTTATTTATATCTGTTAGAAATTTTTTTAGAGTTTCGCCTTTTAGTGTCGAAATAGCATGCAGGATTTTTTCGCCTTCTGGAAGGTTTGCTAATGACATAGCCATGCGAGTTGAATCCCAGGGCTGTTGATGAGATGGTACAAGGTATTTTGCACAGACTAAGTCTTCAGAACTGCCTTCTGAGGATATGCTTACGGGATCACTGAACTCGATCGAAACAGCTCCTTCTTCGGACTTAAAAAAAAATCATTAATGGAGCAGGATTAATAACAAAAAATTCTAATGAATATCTAGTGTATGAAATAAATACCCCGTTCGTGGTTTAGAGCAGGGCCCGGCAACCTGCACGGGAAGATTTTAATAAGAAAAATTACCATGCACAAATCGTAACCGCAGACGAAATCGCGAATTCCGGGAAATATACGTTAATTTTTTTTGAAAATTGGGACTTTGATTTTTTTAAAATACATTTCTCTATCCAAACATCACGAATTGGAATCGTAAAAAAAAGAGAAAGAAAATTTCTATGTGCATATTTAAAAAAAAATTTTTTAGGATCTGAATAATTTGTCAATGGAATAGGAGAGAAAATAATTACTTTCTCAAATTTTACGTTTCAAATTTGATTTCTTTTTTCCGATAGCTGAAATAAATTGAATACTATGTGCATTTCATTAAGTTGCAGTAATAACGTAAAATAAATACATGTTTTTATCGGTTATTCAGGAAAAGAATAACTTAAATTTTCAATAACCGGAATTGATAATTTATTGACAATTTTTGTTTTTTACGGAAAACGAGAGAAAAAATATTTACACCCAAGATATTAACTGCTGTAGGGCCCCAGGATTTTTACATGCGACATTTTCATTTTTACGATGTGAACTCACAAAATATCAAAGCAGCGAGTGATGTTTACAAATCGGGTATAAGGAAATAAACGAATCCCTGAAAAAACATCCCCGGAAAAAATATCCCGGAAAAAAAATCCCGGAAAAAATATCCCCGGAAAAAATATCCCCGGAAAAAATATCCCCGGAAAAAATATCCCCGGAAAAAATATCCCGGAAAAAATATCCTCGGAAAAAATATCTCCGGAAAAATTATCGCCAAGAAAAATTCTAATATTTAATTCTTAATAATAAATATTTAAAAATGCTAATTTTAATAATTTACTAAATGCATTTTAGAAAAAAATTTCTTTATTTATTATGACATATAAAAGGGTTAAGGGTTCGATTCCCCATGAAATTAAAATCATCTTTTCTTTTCTCAAATTTTCATTTAGTGTGTTATGTGGGGAGTGGGAGGGGGCTTCGCCCCTGGGCCCCACCGGGGCTTTGCCCCTGGACCCCACCGGGGCTCCGCCCCTCGACCCGCCAGAGGCTACGCCCCTGGACCCTCCTCTTTGCCCCTGGACCCCACCGGGGCTCCGCCCCTCGACCCGCCAGAGGCTACGCCCCTGGACCCTCCTCTATGCCCCTCCACCTTTGGAAAAATATGTACATAAAAAAAAAGGTGACAGAAATGAAATGTATGATTGGGGGGATATTTTTTCCGGGGATATTTTTTCCGGGGATATTTTTTCCGGGGATATTTTTTCCGAGGATATTTTTTCCGGGGATATTTTTTCCGTAATTTTTTTTCCGGGATATTTTTTCCGGGGATATTTTTTCCGCCACCCAAATAAACAGAAGGCTCCATGCTCGCGATTTTTGTTTCATTGTTTCGTCGCATGAGAGTTGGCTTTTTTATCCTAAAAAAGAAGAGATTCCTTTCATTATCGACTCATTATTTTCACGATGTGAAATTGGTCTTTATCGCGGCGAATGCTCGCATATGTTTCTGACATTTTTAGGTTTTTTTGGAACGGAATTTGCATTTTTAATATTCTATGATGGAACGATTCTCTGGAATTGACTTCATTTTTCTTCCAACACAATTGGAAATTTTCTTCATCAATGTAATAAAAAAAAAGGAATTGATTTGGAGCTATTATGTTTATTTTCAAATTACGATTGACAATAGTAAAATGGCCAAATCCTTCATTATGGTCCACCGTTCTAATTCTACCCATGCAATTTTACGGTTCAAAAATCGTAAAATTAACTAAATAAATCGTTCCGTTCCGGGCTCATCGGGTATAAAATTTAACCGTGACAAATTTTTATTTTTCACATTTAGAGTTGCAATATTTGGAAGGAAAAAAACTATTGCCGAAAATCATTTCCGAAATATATTTCCTAAAGTTTTTCATTGCAAGTTTCAATTTTTGAATTTTATATTGAAAATTTGAAACCGAAACTTTGCATCAATTCTGGGGGGGAGGGGGAGGGGGCAACGCTAGCGGTTTATTCTGCGAATAAGTAACCACTGAGGTTTATTGGCAGATAAAAGTTAGCTAATTGGGTGCCCATTAGAATTTGCAGATTATCCCGACCAAGTACAAAGTAATAGGCTGGCTTCCGGCCACCTGAAGGTTGCGGGGCCTTGCTTTAGACCAGAGGTGGGGAACCTAGCGTAGGCTCAGAGCTGTCGCCATAAAATTATTAAGGTCTCAATGATCAGGGCCCTCACGTTATTACAAGGGTTGCCTATATTCGTGTGATGCGGATAATATCGGTAGATGGTGCATATGCGCATGATTGAAATGTGAGGGCAACATGGTTCCAATTTTTATGTGCATGTTTGGACATTTTCTTCTTGATTAAAAAAATGCAAATAATTTTATGGTTCAGATTCAACACTCATCGGTGGAAATTAAAGTGGGATGCTCAAGAACTTGAAATGGAATAGGTTGGGTCCGTTTTTGGGTTTCAGTAGAAGGCCCTACGGGGGTGGCCAAAGTCGCAGGCGGCAAATTTTAATTATGTTACGGTTCAGTTCAAGAAGTAAGGGATTAGTCAGATCTATCGCGAGAGGTTAAAAGGGAAAAATGATGAAGAATATGTCCCACCCCGACACTCATCCTTTTTAAATTTGAATCTTTTTGCCGCGTACGAGCGGAGCTAAACGTTGCGCACTCCAGGTGCACGTGGCTCTAGGTCTCCCTCAGCGTATCATAGACCAGATATGGGCAAACTCGGACCTTCGGGAGCCGGGGCCATAAAACCCTATTAGATCTATTATTAGAAATACAATACGCCAATGGCGTAAAGTCCAGTGTAATCAGGGTGGGAGTAGAAGCCTGCACGAAGTGGGGCTCAATTAGACACAGAGTGCGCTGCGCGTTTTCTTTTCAAATTTAAAAAATCTTACCAACTAAAAATTCGAACAAATTTTCGCCAATTCAATGTGAAAAATCCCTAGTTGTATGGGGGGTAATTGTTCAAACACCATAGTGCCAGAAATGGATTATTTCTTGGATATTTTAATAATGAATAATTATTTCATTAAAAATTGAAAAAATATGAGATGTCAGTTCTTTAAAATTCAATCAACAAATTATGAATGCAAGATTTATTTTATAAGTTTTGGCTACTCACACCGGATCACACTTTTCCTAATCTGTGAACATTTTTCAATTACCTTTGTTCGATCACTCTCTGCAGCTAATTATTTTTATGTTTTTTTGCAGTAATTATTCATTATCGTGGTTAACGGGAAATGGATGAATTTTCAAATGTTTAACAGTGGGATCGATACAATGACAAAAAGTCAACAAAACATGAAATGATAGAATACAAATTTCTTATTTCCTTGGGCTTCGTCGAGGCCATTTTTTTTTTTAATTTTTTAAATGGTGCTTAGGAAATGTTCAAACAAAATTAATAAAAATTGAAAAATCTTTTCTCAAGTGCTTTTCAATTCATTTGCTGCTGAAATTATTAATTCCGACTGATTTATTCAACGGAATTTTATGCGAAAGTTGATATAGAGAAAAAGGATTAATTGATATTTTTTAACCGTACAAAATACAGCAAAAATTATATTCATATTTTTCATTCAAAAATTCAAATTTTCGTGCGTTGACTGATGTAACGATACCCCCACTCTGCCCCTCCGACTACCTGCACAATACAATAGGACCTATTCTTTTATAGTCATCGGCCTAATATTGTTGGGAGCTAGATGAGCCCATTAGGCGCACTTTGCCCATGTCTGTCCTAGACCAGGGCCCGGCAACCTTCAGGTAGTCGGGAGCCAGCCTATTACAAGTGTCGGGATAATCGTTTAATCTTAATAGGTGCCCAATTAGCCATTGTGTGCACATAAGTCCCAGTAGTGAGGCTATTTCCGTCAGCCACGTAGAGTGACGTGCCAGTCAAACAAAAATGACCGACTCGCAAGAATTGGCGCGAAATTTCAGTTTTTAATTTTTAATATATAATTAAAAACGTCAAATTTGCATAGGAAAACCTTGGAGAATATATTCACAAAACGGTAGCCGGCAATTATTATTTTCCCTTTAAAAATGGAAACTCTAAATTTGAAAAGTGAAAAGTTGCCACTGTCAACTTAGGAATATATTCCTGGAAATCTATTTGCAGCTTTTCATATCACACTTTGAATTTTGCTCATCTTGCAACGTCTAAATGAAAAATGAATTCTTTTATTCATAACATGAGAAAATAAATTTCCTTTTGAAATGGCCCGAATATTGTTCATCCCTTTAAAATCCGTTCGAATATGATATTTTATCTCAGTATATCAAAAACTGGAAGTGTTGGATTTTGGTTTTTTATTTGAAAAATGCAGAAGTATATTTCAGATTCTCTGGTAGCTAAATAAAATAAAAAATGAGTAATTCAATTTTGTTAATGACAATAAAACAGCCCCTTATAACAATTACTATTTATCTATGAATCATTTGCTTCCCATGACTGGATAAAGTTATTGCTCAATCGGAATTGTCAACAAATATTGTATTTTCTTTATAGGATTCCGGCAAATATCGTCTAAGCACGAAATAATTGTCAAGGGTTTCGCCTAATATTGCTGCCTATCTCCAATGAAAAATTGATATTTATGATTTAAATTTATGGAAAGTTGAAAACTGCTGCTCGATCGTACAGTCGCCCTCTACCGGTATCGGTCGAACCAGGGCTCAAGGAGAGAGAAAAATCAAATTAGAGGAGGTAGTTTCTTTAAGTGGATGAGGCCCCTCCCCCAGCTCTCACTAACGAACCTCGGGAGCCGCGCGAGCCCGATGAGCCCTGGTTGTGGGGCCCTGCTCTAAACGGACCTGCTTTTAGAAAACATATTTTACCTATTAACATACAGTTATGGTGAAATTTGAAATGGGTCTTACTGTTGTAGCCTGTGTGGGGGGGTACTTATATTGATTGTAGATTTTAGGCCCTAAAGGATGAATCGCACCAATAGTTTATAAGTATTTAAGTATAAGAGTTTATTACTTTAACTATGTCATCTGACTGATTACAATGATTACGACGATATCATGTCGGAGCCCGATGTAAATCTCTCTTTGACATACCCAAACGGCCTCTTAAATATATAATTGTTTGTGTGTCATTACTTGGTCACCAGAATTCAGTTGCACTGGCAACTCTCACGCTGACAATACTGTATGTACAAATATTTAACAATAACTCAATTGACCAAAATCCAGAAATACCGTTACTAACAATTGAATGCAGACGCGTATAGATTCTTACAAACTTATTGACCGATTCCCATAGACCCTTAGAACCTCGAAGACAAAAATCACAGGAAATGGAAATTTTAGCAATTTTCTGTTTAACGATTATAATATAGTGATGATATCATTATCATCATCTTACCCTTGGCTGCCGATGCTTGGCCGAGCTTTGGGCCCGATTTGTCGGCCAAGAGTCAGTTGGCCACCCATCGGCCGAAACACGGGCGCTGAGGCTTGGCTCATTTATGATTGGTGGGGTATTAACTTAGCAGTGAAGCACCAATCATTGGTGTGGTTATTATTGGCCAAATATTGGCCTAATATTGAAGCATCAATGGTTGGCAATCCTGTGTCAGTGCTTGGTGCGTATAAAAGTGGTGAGGTATCGGCCACACATTGATGCGCTTATCGTCGGTCACAGTCTGAGTGACTTGTCAGTCATAATAACCAGGAAATTTCATATAAATTCTTTGTGTTTGAAAATTCGAAACTGTTTCTATAAAATTTCAGGCGTAATTTTTCAGCTATATATCTTACAGATTAATAAACTGTGACAGAATATACATTGTCATGTACGTGCAAGCGCGCATTCGAAATCTTGTATCCCAAAAACTACTGCAAGAATCTCAATTTTCTTTTCTTCAAAATACTCGTGTCAGTCCGTCCTAATTTCGATATTAATCGAAATATAGACTTTTAGGTTTTATCATTATACCCTTCGTGAACGCAATCAATTAACAAAAAATCATGACAGCAAATTGAAATTTCCTACATTTGTAGCTCTTATAGCATAGAAGGTTCCCGCTTTGGATGGGTGCAATTGGCCAAGCGGTATTAGAGATGTTACACCTTTGGGTGAATGTATTTCCTTGAATATCTCATGAACCACTTAAAGGATTAAAATTTTATATTTCCAACTACTTATCTCAGTCGGCACCATATAAAGTTATGAAAATATGTATACCCGTCCGTATAATAATCGCGAGACATTGCCATTTTTCCCGGTTTTGCTTCCGAACGGACGCAAAGCAATTGTTCGGTTTTCGATTCCTTAATTTCTCCGGGAAATTATGTAGAACGGTTTGAAACGTAAACATACGACGTTTGGGGGTCATGTGTGTGTGTGTGGCATGTCAACTGATGGTCAACTTTAAAAAAATTAAAAAAATAAACGGATGAATTAATTCTAAAAGATCGGAAATTGTGTCAGTCCTAATATGACCGACTTGATCTGTGTTGAATTTCAGCCCGATCGGTGGAATAGCTCTCGAAATATCGGTGCTTTTTTCTGAAAATTTTTTTGCAAATATGTCAGAAACTATCCCTTTCTTTTAAATGTTCGTTTCAATGTGCTTTATATAGATCAGTCAGAATATATACATATATATGAGAATTAGAATTAGCGGTGCTTAATTTAGGAATTACCGACAAGTCTGTCAACTATTGTTGAGACTGTTTGAAATTATTTGCCGAACAGTAGTCGTGAAAATGTGGCTATGGATCACAAATTTAATACAAACGCACTTGAAGCACGAAAGAATCACTTGTTAAGGTATGTTTAAAAAAAACCATCTAATTATTGCATGAAATTTGGTGATTAAATCTTCACCTGGTTGTCTGTAGGTGTAGCTCTCAAGTTAATCATCTCGAATGATTGTGCTCCAGAATCTCTATTTCTCCAAGAGGAAAGCGACTTGCTATCTTGACCACTTCTCCTTAGCGATTTGCCACTTCTGGATTTTGACATGCTTCTGCTTTGAAGATAGTTCTCAAACTGTATTTTTATTCTAAAACGGTAGGAGGAATCACGGAACGCCCCATTCATTTGAAATGCCTGTTCCCCACCAACTCAGTACCGCGATGTTTATAAACACAAGGAACTTATATATAGACCCCTATCAATACCTTGTTCTTATTGTATACCAAAACTAGTGGAAGCCAGTTGAGGATTTCCCTAATGGCTTTTTTTTTCATACTGATTCGTCATTGTGCTCTTTTGTAATTAACACAAAAAGTCTTATCTATTTCAGTGGGAAATGCAGCCAACAAGCTAGATTCGTTCGCAGTATCACACATCGGATGTGGTCTGCACTAGTTAGTTCGTTACTCATTCATGAAATAAAACAGTTGAGAATGTTACTGAGAGGAACAGATGTTCAGCCGGGTATTATTCATATGAAGGGAGAGAATTTAATTTTAAATAAATCTTTTTGCAACACGAAGATTCGTAAATCCTCGGGGAATAATTCTAGTTTAGATTCATATTCAGTAATGAAATATTCAGAGTTTATAAATAAATTTTTTACGTGAATAAAAAATAAAATTAACTACCGTCGGTGTTAAAGTATAGTGGGAAAGAATCAGTCACCTTTGGGAAAACTTAATCTTCAAGTGGTTAACCAATTGACAGTCACTTCCTACATGGAAAAATTTTTACATACAAACATGATTTCACATCAGTCTAATATTATGTATACGTACATTCACATTTTGGAAGTTTTTTCTTTTTTTTTTTTGTAACAACTGTAATATTCCAACTGAAAGAAAATAAGGGCACGTGCAGGTCTTCATTTCAATTACTAGCTGAAATATCGAGGTTTTGATGTTTTATGTTTTTTCTAAAAACCTTTATTTTTCAAATTAACCCGAGAGACTTCATGGAGAATAAAAGAAATTGACTTGGCAGCAGTGTTAATAGTGCCTCCACTGATTTTTTGCAAAACTGTAACAATTCGTTCACTAAATAGCGTAATTAAGTAGGATCGAGAAGAAAATTAGATGACTCATCTAAGCGACTATCTAGTAGGGGTCGTAACCATATCATGTTATGATGTTTGTGGCGTTCATACCATACCATCGTCCCCGTCGCGAACTCTGGGTAATGCTAAGTGCTGGTGAAGTCGATAGGACCTTACTACACCTTGACTGGAGTTTACCCTAATTTATAATAATTATTAAAAATCATATGTCTCGGGAAGAGAACGAGACAAGATCAATTCATTTAATGCAACCAGATTCCTACTTAATGGGAGTCAATTCCGACAAGTCAGGGCAAAAAAGAATTCCACATTTGCCTCAGTTTTCCGGGAAAACCAAATAGAGGTATTATCACGACTGATTACCAAAAAATTAATCCCATATAGGAAATGAAATAGTACACGCTACACATGAAATTTTCTGCTTCAGTTATCGCCTAAGGGATCAGAACGAAAACTTTCCAACAACTGTTAACGTACAGCCTATAGTTCCCTGAGAGTATTGAGCATCTTGTATTGAGCCATAAGGGTCACCGCGAAATCAGGCCCATTACAATTGGAGCAGAAAATTTATAATTACGTTCAAATCCAAGCCCATATTTCCCTGAATGTATTCACCTATCGGACAGACCATAGAACTCATTTTGAACTGATCTGATCAGGCCAGAGAGATCTCAGATTCAAAGCGTTTAAGCATAAAATTTCTAATAGTGTTCAAATTGCAGCCTATAATTCGTTGAAAGTATGCATTGATCATAGGGTCCGAAGGACCTCATCCGACCTCACTCTCACCAGATCTACCTCAAGCCCTGAAAAAATTGAGGAAACATTTAGTCCAGAACTTAATTTTTTTTCTTGCCGAAAATAACTCCATGGCTCGTTTTTGTTTCTTAAATTAATGCGCCAAAATGAAAAATCGATTTTTTGACTACGAGATTTGACCAAAAAATAATTTATTTTATCGAGAAACCCCTAAAAAGACCTTATTTTTTTGTAAATTATGCTGCGAGGGCGGCAACTCAGCCATTAAACAAGCTATTATAATTTTGCTGAATTATCAAGCGAGCGACGTATACTATTTTTTTGCAAGTGTGTGAGAGCATTTTCAGTTCATATTTTCACAAACTTTCCAAGAACTAGTAAATGCAGATAAAATTTTCAGAAAAAATTTCTTGTAAGAAGTTACACTTTGTTTTAGATTATAAGTAAATGAATAATTTAAAAAAAAAACCGAGAATTCAATGAACGTTATGTTTAATGCAATTTTTGCCTCAGCTGACGTTTTTTTGACAAACTACGTCGACATATATAATACACATGATAACTGAGTCAACATTTTACAGCTAAAAAATTGTAAAGATACTTAATGTACAAGCACTCTTTATAATGATTTTGAAGAAGATATAGTTGCATATTCTTCGCTGTAGCTACTTTCTTACTTGAAGTAAATGTTATGCAAGTCTGTGAAATTGAAATTCACAGTTTTCAGTAATGGCATGCTCTAGAATAACTTTGAGATATTCAAATTTTCATCATTTTCTAAATTAATGGTGTAACAGTTCGGTTCTGGTCATTTTCTGTAGGGTTTTCCCAGCATTATAGTTTGATGTGGGAAGATTTTGATATTGTTGATTTGTCTTGGGAAATTTCGATGTTCACAATGTAAGTGGGTGAAGGAGTCGTTTTTGAAGAGCTTGATGGTCCAATATTGCCTGCTTCAATTAATTTTTTGTCACTGCCGTATTAAAACCTCGGTAAAGCAACCTGTGTAGAGATACCTGAAGTAGCGCCTAATGGTCGTGTGTTGAGGAGTGCGTGAGGAACGAATTGTCGGCTCCATGCATGTACAACTGAATACTCAGCTGTTATATTCGTGCCGCATGGAGGAAACAAAATAAGTGACACAATTCATAAAAATCTACATAAAATAATAAAAGAATAGGTGAGTGGGTATCTGATAGTGACAAAGAGGATGATGAAGTTGAATGTGAGAAGAGTGACAAGAAAAATAACTCTGGAGATATATTTTCTGATGATGAGAGCGAGATTGAAGAGAATTTGGAGGAAGACAAAGACGATGGTGAAATGTCAGACCAGCTGTTAGAATTAATAAATGAATCAAATCAACACTTGCAGCCTGCGAAAGCCAAACATGTTTCCAACAGTACTTATGCCGAATTCAAGACTTAGATGAAACGGAATAAAATCCGTATATTAAACGAAAAAATACTTCTCGGATATTTATTTTAATTATTTGTGTAGATCTAACCGCAAACCCTCGACTCTGTGAACGATGTATTCCATGTTAAAAAATACGATAAATCTAAATAATCAAATGGACATCAGGGGATACTCCAAGTTGAAAATTTCCTTGAAGAAGAAGAACTAAGGCCACAGGAAAAAAAAATCGAAAGTTTTCACTCCTCAGAAAGTCAAGCACTACGTCACAGGAGCGCCCGATGAAAACTGGTGAACAATATGAATAATGATTGTCCCTTTTAACGGATTTTCACCCCTGAAGACCACTCTATAAATAACATGGATTTTAATACGTCCGTGACAAAAAATAGCATTTGTCATTCGACATACAGACAAGTGTGAGACCGCGCTTAACGACCTTATAACAAAATGTACTAGTACTGTACTAGTTGCACATGTCAACCCTTTGACATTTTTGTGGCATTAGAGGACTTCGGTGGTTTTGAAGTTTGCCCCTGACTTGATCTGGCAAATGATTGCAAAATTTTTCTACAACATTGGTGCTTCTTCGTAGCAGAATCTTCTACGGGATCTTATATCGGTACAGGCGGTTGCTCTATTAGCAACCTCCCGCTCATCGGTGCCTGTTGAAAAATTCGATTCAACGGGGAATCGAACTCATAGCTTTCAGAACACTAGGCTTGTACCTAGCCACTGAGCTATCGACGTCGATTTCACAAGCCTTAGGTATTAGGTTAGCGGTTAGGGCATAGGGCTAGTGTGTGAAGAATATTAGGTTCGATTCTCGTCGGGTACAAAACTTGAGTTCGTTGGTTAGTCAATCACCATCAAAATAATTCAATCACCGTCAAAATATTGATAATCGGATAAATTTCAATAAAAAATAAATGTTATTAATATTTTTGGATAAAAATAATAAGATTCGCATGTCAATCGGCTGCCATCATTGTGCCAAGAATCAAGGCACCAAGAATCGGATCAGAATTATCATCCAAGGCTCAACAGAGCATTGGACTAGTCGCTTTTCCACCTTTGTAAATGTTGGCGTCGAGTTTGGCCCGATCCTCAGGCCAATCCGGCCATCCTACATGGGCTCCCATTTTTGGTGTCAAGAAAATGCACCTTCAAAAATGGTTTTCCAGTATGATGGTCAGTACATTCATGCACGTCACAGAATTTCAATTTCTCCATTTCGACCGTTCTATAGCCCCCACAAAGGCGGAATATTAGAGCGATCTATAAGAGGAAGTAGGCTATGTATTCAAGAAATAGGAAGTGATCGGTTATCAAATTTATTTAACATGTATTTAATCTCTGCCAAATACTCCTCATTTGCAGCTTCTAAATTTTGTAGTTTAATGCTCTCTATAAATTACCGATTCTTTAGGCTGGTATCCTCCTGGAAGTCTTTTCAAAAAATAAATGACTCCATTGTACTTGCTCAAATCAATTCTGTAAAGTCTATCTGGACGATACTCTTAATGCCAGAGATTGTAGCCGAGAGACTATTTGGAGCAGATGATTCTGATCTCCCGGTAAAATTCGCTAATACCGTTTCAAAATATTCATGAAAAGAATATTGAAAGTTGCGAGAAAGAATCTACTTTGTGCTGTTATTTCTGTTTGTACTTCAGAAAGAATGTACTCAGCTGAATTCTCCTGTAACTCATTTTGGTCGATTCAGTTCTTATATTTTCTGTAGCTTCTTTTAAATCTTTGTTGTGATTTTTACGGCATTTTCTTATTTCATGAATTTTCGACTGTTCTCAGGATTTTTTTATGAGTATTTGATGCTTTTAGACCCCGCTACTCATCCTCTGTGATTTAATGTGATATTGGGAGTAGCTGCGTTAATTCCTCATATGTGTCGTCATGCTCACAATACACTTCCAACGAATCTTCTTCTATCAATATGCCATCAATTATGAAATTCTCGTATACATCATTTTCCCACATATCCTCCTCCGAAATATCATCAATTTTATATTGCAAGACTCTTTGATCATTTTCTTTACTATGGTGTTTTCTAATAGAACAGTGTATTAGGGTATAACATTTAAACTGCTAATATTGATAGTTTTGCTGTAACTAAATGTATTGAGCGTGATTATATTCGTCGTTAACATTTTTTAATATTGCAATTTACGGTATGATATAGCGAGGTATGCTGAAGTTTTGACGTCGCCGACAATAAAACAGGGGGCAAATACTTCCGAAAACCGTGCACGGCGTTCCGCACCGCCTTCTGTCGTAGAATCAGCTAGTTGCTACTAGTAAAAATCCCTTCTCGAAAAACCCACTGAGGAATCATAAAAAGTGGCATCACACTCAGTTTTCTTGCACATATGTTAGGCTTTGATCTTGAGCACCTGAGCAAAAAAAACTTCCCTTCATGCGCGCTTCGTCCCCGCCATTCAGTAATTTTTTACATCAAGCATTCGAATCTCAGCCAAGTCCCTTTTTTTTTATTTTCAATTTTCCTGAGGAGAGAAAGCTTGGCAGGAAAATTATTGATTAAATTTTTGAGTGATGATTAATTTTAATAAGAAATCACGATAACTCAGGTCTGATCAGAGTTTTATAGAGCTTGGGTAAGTCCATGCCAGCAGGTTTCGACGCAATAAAACAATCTACGATCGTTCGCGAATCACAATAAATCCCTCCCTCCCTTCTCTCCCCCTTTCGTGGAAAATAACACTTATTTCTGGTTGAATTAATGGATTGAATTGTATTATTTTCGATATTGTTAAAATCATTTTTTAGTTGAACAATGCGTAATTGACAGGAAAAGTATTAATTTTCAATTCTCAAAAAGTCTATCAATTCGCGAAAGTTGCTGATTACAGCAGACAATATCGGCGACGGAAGAAGTAGATAAAACAAAAAATAGTAATAATTCTTATCTTTTTATTTTTTTTCTTCATTTTTTTATACAAAAAAAAATATATTTTACACGTTTTCATAATGTTTTAAATTGGGTTACGGTCAAAAAAAATTCCACCCGTGCCGAACAGCTGCATAGTAAGGACAATAAGAGCAGTGTCTACATACACGGTATATGCTTAAATACCATAGACGTATGGTATTTTTTCTACCATGGATCTATGGCTTTTATGGACAATCTCCGTAAGTAATGGTTTACGGTAAGTTTCGCCACCCGTCTATGGAAATGTGCCATGGATGTAAGATTGATTGCTAGGCGAGTACGTTTTCTTTAGTGGTACAAATCGTACATATTGAAACGAGATTTTTCTCCTCACGGGTTAAAATTCTCCTTAACAATAAAAGAATCCTGTCGTATGGACAGTGGAGGAAGAAAAGCCACCTGACAGAGGCCAAAAAGGCCTCGAATGGATGGCATGTTCGATTTTCCTCCGATGAGGGGCCAAAAGCATAGCGATTTAGGTGAAACCGCGATCCCTAAGGACGTTCGTAGACTGTGGCTTAGTTGGAGCTTGCCCAAAATGTAATAGTAACTTTTGGGGACGACGTACAGGTTGTCCAACTGGGCAACTCCAATGCATCTACCGCATTGATCTCCATATGACTATCGTGATAGACTATCGTGTATTCCCCTACTGAGGCGATTTGGAAGTCAATCAGCGCCTCCCAATAGTAGTCAAGCAACTAAAATAGGATCAAATGCGCATGCTCAGCGCAGTTGTCGAGGAAAAGCATGTATACCCAGAGTAATTGGAAAGTTTCTGGGTAGAGTTCAAAAAGACACAAATTATCAAAAATAACAGAAAATGGGTCGTTAGGATTTTTAGTGTATTTCTTGACATGGGATCTACATAGAGAAAGCAGAAATGAAATGAATATCCTTGGCTTTTGTTATATATTCGTAACTGGAAAATAAATTTACCTATTCAGTTCAATTTGAGCTGACTACAATGAAAAATCTTTACTAGGCAAGGAAATATGATGTATTTTATATGATGGCTCGATAATTTTTCAACATTTGAAAGAAGTTTAAGTGGTTATTTTTTTCTACCAGTCGTGAAATCTTCAGTGAAAAATATGAGCGGTGTAACACTTTTCCCCGAACTCGTCCCGGGGTCCAGGATAGCCATTACCTTGGCCCGTTCCCATACGCGCATCCGTACTATCCAACCGAATTAATAAGGGCGCCAGCTAACTTTTTATGGGCCAAAAGTTAACAAAAACCGAAAACACCGAAACGGGGCAAGGAGGTGGGGTGCCCTGCCTTGCCCGAGGTCAGCCGACCAAATCCAAAAGACCCAGGAACAAGAGAACGAAAGGACAGGCCGAGTGGGGTTGGAACTCGTCCGCGCGACAACACAAAATCCTAAATCCATAAATTACACCAACCGGGGTGTGACCGTAAAACTACCCGCGAGAGGCGAAAGCCGATGGCGAAGGATGCTAGGTCGTGGAGAGAGGGCCGGGGTCTACGGATACGCGAAACCATGCGATAAAGCGAAGAGACGATAGTCCGGGATACCGAGAGCATAGTGGCGGGAATCCGAGGCGTGAAGGGTGACCTCTAGGAATACCTTGCCAAGAGCGCGACGTAAGATAGCGAAGTGCCAGTAGGCCGAGATTGTGGGGATTAACTCACCCGATTAGGCACTTTCTGGAGCGTCACGGGCCCACTAGGGTAGCCCCAAAATTAGAGAGCATATCCAGCCCGGTAAGACTCTCACCCAGTAAACGTCACGCGAGGGGAGTATTCCTCCCACCCGGAGATCATCACCAGGGAGAGCGTAGCCCTCACCTAGAGAGCATGTAAACCAATGCAGGACATTGGGAGCCTATCGAGGGCTCGAGAAAGAGCTGCCAGTGGTCCGCACTGGGAGCCAGCCGAAACGGCTCTGCCGAGGGAGTGGGCAGTCTGGGCAGTATTGCCGATGCCCCCCCACTCTCGACTACGGCTGGATGGGCTGCCGTGTGCCGGAACGTGCTGCCCTCGCCTCAGGGAGGATATCCCTGACACTAGCTTTTCCTGGAGCGCGCCAAATTCAAACCTCGCCACTGACCCCTTCGAACAATCCCTTCGAAGGATCAGCCGTTCGAATGCCTACCCCATCTAACATGGAGCGCTTATACCCCAGTATGAGTCCTATGCTATGTGCCAGGAAGTCTCATAGTGGAGCTGGGAAAGTTTCTACGTGTCCGCCCTGTCCTGTTGCCCCAGTCCTCACACCCTTCGACGATTCGAGAAATTTCCGGGGAGGGTCGAGATGGCAGCTGAAGATAGCCAAAATAGGCCAAAATTGGTTTAATGTGCGGGATTCATAGAAATCCCGTTACAGCGGAACCGTCAATTATGAAAAGATTACATAGAATTTTTACATTTAAATATGAAGATTTACTCAGCACATTCAACTACATATTGAAAACTTAACACCTTCTTACAGTAGAGGAGTACTCAGTCGGCAATCACCAATCCTACTTTTGATTAAACAAAAGAGTGATTAATAGCACATCGGTCATTCAAATTCGAGAATTATTCTATTGCAGTGAGGAATTCGGAGATTTTTCTCAAGGAAGAAAATAAACGCTTCTAACACCTGAACACTTTTCAAAAATGACCGATGAGTCAGGTGGTTTACATCGTTATGGCATCATTTTCCCGGAGTCATTTACCGTCCGCATCACCTTCCCTTGGGTGACGCGCATGCACAGTCAAGGGTACTGTAGTATTCGAGCAAATAATCGGAGGCTGCGTTTGTCCTACACTGTTACTCAGCGGACACTCATCCCAACCAGACTAAATGTGGCTTAGCTTGGACGACCGCCGGAGACACACAGCATTCGCGTGGCGACTACCGTAGCCGCCTCATATACCGAGTGTCCCAAAACCAAAGGTCCACATTGCAACCCAAAGTTGGGGGTGGAAATCAGGATCGAAAAGTCCTGAGCAACTTTTCGATCAGAGGGACCCTCTTATTCTTATTCTTATGCTATATAATTTTTATACACGCGTATAAGAATTCTCTTTTAAAAGCCTCACACAGAGGTAAAATTGTTTCTTGTTGAAAAGTATCCTCCGATTATTTTTGTATTCTTGTGAAATAGGAGTTCCTTAAAAAACATCAACTAGATGTTCAATTACGAGATTTATAGATTTGTGCAGTATGGATTTATTATATGTATTGCATATCTATTTGTATAGACTTGATAAATAAAATTTATTTGATGTTACAGGTCGGTGCTGATGGAGTCAATTCACAAGTGAGGCGAGTTATGGGAACTCAGTATGTTTCCTGGGATTATAAACAAATGGCGATTGTCGCTACCCTTAATTTATCAGAGGTACAACCAAATATGATTAGTTTTTGCTTGAGAATATTATGAAGACGTGGCCGCTGGAAGTGCCGATCACTCTCACATACTAGCAGGCTGCCAATCTTCATATTTTTATGTTTCCGACCATTTTGCACGCTTTTCGCACAAAGTTTGACAAAGTTGAAAAATCGATCGATTACAATTCTTTCCTTAGAAAGCAGAAGAATTTTTAACGAGTCTGAGCTTTAGACTATCTTTTGTCTTAGAACTGTTTCTAATTTTTGGGACACATACTTATTCCTCCAAATAGTTTTTACCGAGTTCGTTATTGAACAAGAATTTTGAGAACCAAGTTTGTTGGGATATTGGCGCTTGCGCTCGGTAACGTATTTAATATGAATGTTTCACTTTATGATAACTTATTCATTGTGTCCACCGAATCCGCCTCCTACCAAAGTTAAATATGTTGATAATTCACAGGCTGAATTTTTGTTGCCTTTTCTAATTTTTTCAAGAAGGATAGGTAATTTTTAATTTAGCACTACATCTGGACTGAATTTTTAACTATTAAATGAGGATTTTAAGTGGCGATAATCCTTTTTAAGCAAGTGTGACTATAGAAACGGGTAGGATAGGGCCCGGCGTCAAAATCCGGGCCTAGGAGACGTTACGCTTTAAGTGGTTCTGTGACCTCCGTGTACACGCCTGATTTTCTCGTGATGTTCGAAATTTCGCGATGTGACCAAGAAGTATAACAATCCAATAATTATAACAACCAATAATGCGACATGTTGAGAATCGAGTTTTACTGTTAATTCCGGCCTTAAGTCCTGTTGGTCTTCAAATGGTTCTGTGACCACTGTGTAGGTGTCATAAGAGTTGGAAAAGAATATAATTGAAAAAATTTGTATGTTGAAATTTAAGTAATTGACATTATTTAGCGGACCCACTTAAAAATAAAAACGAATTCTCCTGTCGTTCTATTCGGAAATATTTTTGCTCGAATAAGATTGAGCGACTTCCATGTAGCTCGAAGCAGCATCATGAACTGAAATGAGAAATTCCATAGTGCATGATATGAGAGATGATTCGTTGCCAATTCTGTACGGATGTATATGAGATGGAAACGAATGGGGTCGAGCTGGTCTTAGAAAAATCACTACATGGAGAGAAAACTACCCGAAAAATCACGGAACTGTTACGTATTCGAGGGGTGACCTTGGTTTTCGGGGAAAAATACTGTAAGTTCCGTAAAAATTTTCGTAGCGTGCAAGAATTTTTACGAAACTTTCAGGACAATTTTACGGTACCTCCAGTACTTTTTCCCGAAAAGCAGGGTCACCCCACGAATATGTGAAAGTTCCGTAATTTTTCGGGTATTTTTCTCTCCATGTACACGCAGTTTTTTTTATTTAAGTCGCCACAGTCAATCGACTGTAACAAAAATAATCGATACTGAGCTATCATAATGAGTCAAGTTGCATTGAGCGGATCACAATCAGCGAGAATAGTGGTACCGAGAATTACTTAATAATTTTTCGGAGAAAGCGATTAATGAGCGATTCCATGAAAAAGGACGCATATACACTTTATGGCAGGTGATGTCATTTTAAGCGGTCACGTGACCCCATTCAATTATCACATAGCAATTGAGAATTGTCAAATGTCATTTGTCAGAGTAGTTGACGGTAGCGTCTGCAGAATTATTGACAGCAATGACGCACAGATTAATCCGTATTAGGACTTATGAACTGCAAAAATTCAAGATTTTTGGAATCAATTGATCCGTTTATTCTTTTAATTTTCTACAAGTTGCCTATCAATTGGCTATTTCGCATAGACACACATGTCCCTCAAACTTCGTATTTTTGCGTTCAAGACCGCTCCAGATCATTTCCAGGCCACCGAAAACTCAAACGATTGCAATGTTTCCATTCGGAAGCACGAAACAGAAAATTGGCAACATCTCACGATTTTTGTACGAACCGGTACATATATTTTCATAGCTTAGTAGGGTCCTTATTAAGATGAATATTTTGAGAAAATATTCAAGGAAATATATTCACGCAAAGGTTGTAACACCTCAGGAACCGCTGGGCCGATTGCGGCCATCCAGAATACCGACTTTTAATATTATGAGAACTACAAGTGTACAAATTTTAGCTCGCGCTCTCTATTTTGTATGGATTTATCGTGTTCACAACGTTTATGAAGACAAAACCTAAAAACGACAATGTCACGAAATTTTATGCTCGGCGGTCGAAACGCTACCCTTTTTTTCTCTGTAACTTAATTTCTCCGAATTTTTGGCGTGCTTGGGGTCTCCATTTTGTAGGCTTTACGAGCGCGGCATCTGAAATAGGGCATTCCCTGTTGAAATTTTTTTGGCCCGTGACATGCTGTTTTATGCAAAAATCAGGAGAGAATACGGGTGAACACCTCATTTTTCCGGCTTTCTTGCACAGATGAAACTAATACCTCGAGTAATCTCCAACAAACCGAACGTGAGAGGAAAGTCCCAAAAAATCAAAAACCCACCATGAAGCCCTCCGTAACCCCCCCCCCCCCCCATGTATATCTTATGTATTCGATTGTACATGGTTAGTACACGATTGTACTAGATTTTTGAACTTCCTGTTCTATAGGAAGTTATTGTAATGACCCCGAAAATCAATATGGAAATTTTCAACATATCTTCACGTTTCAAGGCCTCCAGAGTAATCCTGGACCATTTTCGAGAGGATGTCTGTGTGTGTGTGCGTATGTTACTGGCGATGTACGTGGCCGAAATTTATCGTCAACGATTTCTCAAAAATGGATGATGCGATCGAAGTCAAATTGATACCATCGAAGCGTTTTCAGGCCATTTGGTGCTGATTAGATTATAGAAGGAATTGCTCCAGCCGTTTTCCAGTTTTTCCAGAAAAACTACGAAAACGGAAATTTCATCAACGATTTCTTGTCCGAAATTTATCCTCAACGATTTCTCAAAAATGGATGATGCGATCGAAGTCAAACTGATACCATCGAAGCGTTTCCACGCCATTTGGTGCTGATTAGATTATAGATGGAATTGCTCCAGCCGTTTTCCCGTTTTTCCAGAAAAACTGCGAAAAAGGAAATTTCATCAACGATTTCTTGTCCGAAATTTATCGTCAACGATTTCTTGTCCGAAATTTATCGTCAACGATTTCTCAAAAATGGATCATGCGATCGAAGTGAAACTGATACCATCGAAGCGTTTCCATGCCATTTGGTGCTGATTAGATTATAGATGGAATTGCTCCAGCCGTTTTC